GCGAGCAGCTGAGGCTGAGAGAGACCAAGTGATGTGCGTGAAGCAGTCGGGCTTGAGTGTGTGATGGCCATGGCCGCCATTGAGCGTCATAAGCTGGGTTGTCTTTTGAGCAGCAGGACATGTTCTCTGTATGAGTCAAGAGTCCCAACAAGGCGCTCCTCGGGTTTGAGGGTAGTTCCCAGTGGCTGTCCTCTGACGACATGGAGGGCCTTTGTTGGAGAGAAGGTGTTTCTGGTGGTCTTTGAAAACTTCCATCTGAGGGGGCCAGCCAGTACCTCCTCCCCATCAGGCAGCCACCTTGTTTCCACACATTCAGCCAGCTGCTTAGGACACAGGAATCCACCCTGGGATGAGAAGTGTGAGAAGTGACTGACACACCTCGTCCTGTTGCACTTTGCTGAAGCTGCGTTTTTCACAAATTGAGTTGGTGGCAACCCTGTATCAACGCCCTGGGTGCCATTTTCCCAGCAGCCTCTCTGCTCACTTCGTGTCTTAGCGTCACGGTTTGGTCATTCTCACGTTATGTAAAACGTTTTCATCAAGTGATTACACACTTCATAGATTACCAAACCGAAACTAGACTCACTGCCATTGAGTCAATTCCGACTCATAGTGTTTCCAAGGCTGCACATTTTTACAGAAGCAGACTGCCTCATCTTTCTTCCATGGAGCAGCTGATAGGTTCGAACCACTGACTCTTTGGTTAGCAGCCCAATGCCTTAACCACTGCACCACCAGAGCTCCTTCATGGAGTACAGTAAAGTGTAAAGATGCCTTTCATATGCACTGAGAAGCCAAAACATTCTTGTGACTTGCTTTTTTGCGATACTTGCTTTATTGTAGTGGTCTGGAACCAGACCCACAATATCTCTGAGGTCTGCCTGTAACAGTCAGGGGTGAGGATGAGGTCTGGTGGGCTTTGGGCGAACACAGGGAACAGCTCGCAGAGGGTGGTTTGTGACAGGAGCAGCTTGCACGTGGTTTTAAGATGAATGAATCCCGAAGTCAGGCACTCAGGAGACTTCTGCAGTTACCAACAGAAACATCTGCAAGCAAGCTGTCAGGCTCTGGGAGGCTGCGCTACAGGCCAGCTCTCGGCTCGGCTCTGGCTTGCTGTTTTAGCATTTAGTTCCATAGCATTTATTACTGTGTTTAAGAATTGTTGAATGTTTCCGGCATTCAGAAAGTAACAGGGTGAACAAGTGCGTACACTCCCCAGCCTGAGAGACACACTGTGATGTGACTGGAGGCCTCAGGCCCTTGCCTGTCTGTCCGTCCTCCCCACTCCAGTGCCGTCACCTCCCTGAGTTGCAGTGTTTATACTTTCTCAGCTCAGGTAGGTGGCCATCAACCACCAGCTGTGTTGTTTGGACACGTGATGTGCTCGGTGAAGTAGAGTGTCAGCAAGAAGGAGACCCTCACCGAGATGGGTCAACGCAGTGGCGGCAGCGGTGGGCTCAGGGAGCGCAGTGGTTGTGAGGATGACGTGGGACTGGGCGGTGTTTGTTGTGTTGTCCACACGGTCGCGATGAGGCAGGACTGACTGGACTGCAGCTAAAACAGGATGTCACGTAACTGGTATCGTGTATACCTCCTTTTTCTCACACAGCGTCGGGTTCCTGAGATTTCTCTATGAGGATCTGTGAAGTGATTGAAGGTTTGAATGGACTGACCCCTAGAATTCAGTCAGAATTTCTGGGAGGTGGGGCATGAACCTGAGAACTTTGTACAGGCCAGCCGGGCTTGGGGGCCCTGGCTCTTGGCCGTCACTTGTCATGGCTTGTGTGTGGACTGTCCCACCGTTGATTTGGGTTTTTCCGTATTTCACTGCCATGAACATTGCTACGCGGGGCTGTGTGGGCGCTCCCATGCTTGTCCCCAGGGGCGGGTGTGGGGGCAGGAGGCCCTGGGTCTGCAGGGGGAGTTGTGAGGTGAGTTCCCCTTCAGGGTGACGGGTGTTGTCACATTTCTCTCCCAAGGTGCATCTTAGTGAGCTCCCGCCACGGTGCTAGCGTCCCAGGGCTCTTAGCTCTCCACAGTGTTGGTGACGCTTCTGTGATGTCGCAGGCTCACGGCCAGCCCAAGACCTCGTGGCTGAGGGGTGAGCAGCCTGGGACTGAGCCAGGGGCCTTGGCCACGCATTTAATGGACACCCTGAGCCCAGCATGTCCAGTTTGACTCCCCACCCCCAGCTGTCCAGCTGCCTCATACGCTCCTTTCTCACTCAAGATGGGAGCTGAGGGGTCTTGTTGACGCTCTCTACCTCTCACCCCAGCTGCCGTGTTGGGAGGCCCTGTCATCTGTGCCTTCAGAGTATCTCCAGAGCCCACCTCCTGCCACCTCCACTGACCTCACCCTCCTCCCTTGACGGGATTGGAGAGTCACCTCCAGAAAGATGTCCCACTTCCACCCCAGCCCTCCTGTCAGCTCTCAGTAATGCAGTTGGAAGCTGCTTTAAACCTCAGGGCCATGTGCCCGTCTGCCACTCAGAAGCTGCTGCACACAGCCCCGGGGACCGCGCCAGCCGGGGAGCTGAGCCCTTGGCCTTGCTCTTCCCTCCTGCCTCCTTCCAGCATGTGCCGTGGAGCCAGGAGGGAGCCGTCTTTCGGGGGCAGCTTCCCTCCTGACCTTGCCCTCCACCTGGCCACTTGCTTTGATCCGTATAGTTTTTCAAGCGCTGTCACCAGCTGGAATGCCACATACTCCATGCTGTAATCATTGAGTTGTTTATTGTCTCCCTCAGTGACAGGAGGAGCTCTGGTGCCATAGTGCCTAAGTCACTTGACTGCTAACCAGAAGGCTGGGGGTTCAAACCCACCAGCCACTCCTCGGAAGGAAGGTTGGGCAATCTACTTCCGCAGTGATACCGCCTCGGAAACCCAAGGAGGGGTCAGATCGCGCTCGACGGCGGTGGGTTAGGTTTGTTTTTGGGTTGTCAGCGCGATCCTATCCACATGGATGTTTGTTGTTGTTGTTGCTGAGAACACACACGGTGAAGTACCCCGCAGGGCAGCAGTTCCTGCCTGCACAGGTCAGTGATGCTGACTGCAGTGTGCAGGTTGTGCAGCCGTGCTCACCCTCCTTTCCTCAGTTTCCCTCTGTCATTAACACGATCTCATTGCTTCCTGAGGTTCCTATCAACTCCTCAGTTGCTATTGTCAGTTTGATCCCATAGATGGTTCTTAAACGAGCACAGTACTTAAGGCAGACTTTTTTTAAATTGTGATTTGAATGAAAGTTTACAGAGCAAATTCACTTTCCATACAGCAGCTCACATACACTTTGTCTCATGACATTGACTGCAATTTCCCACAATGCAACAGCTCCCCTCCCACTTCCTCCCCATAGTTACC